CCTATTGTCTTGTAATTATCAATTGGACATCATAGGAAATTTCCTTAATTGTATTTTTTAGGGAAATCGAATTTACTCTTTTGGAATTACTTTAGTAAAAAAAGTAGATTAAGGCAAAGGAAAAGAGAGTGCAAAGTTGCTCACGGCTTGTGTGCTGACATACAGAAAATAATTTAGCCCGATAGTAATAGAGAGATATGTTTTCAAATTTTCTAAGATCATACAATAAAGTATAGTAAGTGTAACAGATTGATAGACTATATTGGTGTCTAAATGATGGAAACACATAGATTTGGATAGTATAATATATTACAATGCAGCTGCAAACTATGGTAAGACACTAAATGGAATTTTCTAGAAACATGACAAATAAAAAGAACAGTTCTAGTTCTAAAAATATATTTAAAAATAATAAAATATCAGAATTTGCTGCAGTCGGTAACTACCAGTAAGAATGGACAAGATATTTGCTAAACTGAGAATGAACAGGAGCCACCGAATATAATCAGTAACATCCCAAAGTCATAATCATGATACACACCAAAGCATGACAAAGACACTGAGACAAACCCATAAGGTATGGCAATTTATTTGATGCATTATTCAACTTGCCCTCAAAACAAGTGCACTTGATGCAACTCTATACAAGGAAAAAATAACAAAACAAGTGTCAGTTAACAAGAAGATCTAGATTTTTAATGAGTCATGCAATTTAAAACTTTATACTATACGTTTGACGCCTAACACAACGGAGATATATTCAGAGAGATCTTCTGTCTTTACCGAAGTTTTCCCTACTTTTTTCTTTAGTCTACACTTTTTATAAAATAACATATTGCAATTCTGCAACGTATCTGGCTACAAGTTACAAACCGTTATAATTTATTATGCATATAAATTATCTTTAGAAGTTTATTATGTTTGTATTGAATTTGTGTGTACCATGCAACAAATAACTTGTTCTGCTGCGCTAGAAATGACTGACAAACTTGTAGTATCTGTTTTGTTGAAGGAAGGCGGCCTAGAAACTAAGCTAACATCAAACAGGTCACAGAACTATTTACTCTAATAGTGTCTTTTGACAATTCCCAAGTTGTAAAGAATAACAAGTAGGTAATTTACCAAATTACACTTGGGGGGAATCAAACCAGTCCTATACTTAAAAGTAAATTAATAAATAATAATTACGAAACGCAGATTAGTTTGTGATTTGACTTAGCAACTGCTAATGTGCAATTTACTGCATAACTACATAGGTCAAGGTGATTGGAGAAATCATCGCCGCCTTTGTTCACATGCATTAATTTAATCAAAATTCCATATAATTTACATTCTGGCTACATGATTTTATTAACCAGGTCGTGACTGTTGCAGTTAATAACGAAATAACATATAATTGAATTAGATAACGGAACAATATCGAATTAGAATTAACAACTGTGTTGTTTTATTGCCAACCTTTCATTAGAGTATGACATATCCTTGAGTCAATCACGCATGCGTGTTGCAGGGTCGACAGAAATACTGCACTGCACTTGCGATATATTATAATTAAAATACCTACTCATGAAAATAGTATATTCTTACTCTGTTTCGATAGAGTACCAGTGGAGTTTCTTACCTTTATCTTCGCGGCCAAATCAACACCAAATGTAATACTAGAAAAAATACTATATACTGTTTGGTGGTGCTTAAATTAAGTTTATTATTTGAACATTTATTTTTATCGGGATAATCTTTTATTTTTATAGAATTATCAAATTTTTCTATTTTGATAATTCTATAAAAATAAAAGATTATCCCGAAAAATCATTTCATATAATATTTGACTAAGTTTAAATGTCGAAAGATTTTGCTGAGTTTGCACCTGTTAAGCTAGATTCATATATAGGTATATTTGAATCTAGCTTAACAGGTGCAAACCGCCATCTCTGATAGAAGTATAAGTAAAGTAGCGGTTTCACTCGGATTCATTCCAAATCTATGAATTTGTCAAATATTATGTACCGTAGCGTAATTTAAAAGAACTTAATGTACAGACAAAGATGGTGACTATATTTAATACTACGTAAAAATATATAATATGAAATTTTTTGTTTAAATTATAAACAAATATTAACCCATATAAAATAAGATATACAAGAATTATCTCAATAAATTGATCAAAGAGTACGCCACGCGCGAGAAATGACAGTAGCGCGGTGACTGCGCGCGCGCACATTACGCCAAGGCCGCCGCTCACTCCTGCTGGCGCTGGTTCGACGACCGCTTGATAAATATATTAATAACCAACTTAATAAGATTCACATTATAACGAAACAAAATACTCTCCTTGTATTTTCAGGAACATACCTAATATTTTACTGGCTAGCAGTATTATAGAAGTCACAGAGTAAATTAATATCTACTACTGTGACGCAGTGCAATATGGCATTTAAACAATAATATCAATATTGTAACAATACGCTATGGTATTATTTTTTTCGTGTTTTCTTTTATTGTCGTCTCTTAAGATAACAATAAGAACAAAATAGAAGAATCAGAAATGGAACAGAACAAGACCTTCTTGGTAAATAATGGAATGTCCCCATGCCCTAATGGTGGAAAATCGATTTAGATTACTTTTTAATTATAATAAATAGATGACCCTGTTCAACTCATACAGAACCCAAACTAATTTTCTATAATTACTGAACAACTGATAGACATAAATTAATATGTTTTTGAAATTTAATACAAATAAGAAATTATCAGATCAATCCAAACAATGAATGTTACAATATTTGATTGGTCGAGGGATCGAACCCGCGACTCCAGATAGGCGAGGGATCCTAGGGATAATAAATTATTCAGTAATAATTAAACAAACCTTAAAATAAATTTATATTGTCTAGGCACTAAGCAGTCGCCAATCAAAGTCAATTCAGAAACAATAAATTGTAGGTTCAGAATGACAAACAGTTTTTCATGACTTTGCTATTAAATTATTGCCAAAGTGTTAATTTAACTTAATCTCCGTAATAACAATACACAGACACGACAGTTACGTGCCCACACAACGTTGTATTTATATTAATACAACGCATTTTATTTGACCTTTCTGTTATAGCATTTTGTGTTCGAGTAAATATGGGTCAAGTTTTATTTGAATTGAAAATCAATATTATTATATTGATACTTGAGAAAAGAATATGATAGTTCATTATCAATAATAGACGTTTATTTTAATTTTTAATCAACTTCAAACAGGTGGTCTTTATTATTTGACAGTAGTAGTATGTGTTGAATTATCTACCTATCTATCAATACTGAATTAATTCTATTTATAAATAAAAGACAGTCATAACATGACAAAAATGAGTCCGATTGACTATAAGCACAGGTAATATAATAAGTAAAAAACTCGAAATTTTCACTAAATTTATACTTTTCATCATACACGAGTATGTTTTGGGAAAGTTAACTTTGCACATAGTCTTCAGCATAGGTATATACCATCTATACCATCATCATCATATACCATCTGTCTCAACTAATTTAAGTACCAGGTAACTTGTTTCGTAAACTGTGAAACTGTCGGTTGAAATAATTCAGAGAAATTACAGTATAGAGGCGCAATGCACACTATATATCATAGAATTGACTGTCTGTACATAAGCGACGGTTGCCACTCACCGTCGGGTGGGCCATCAGTGTGTGTGGTAACCATGGTGTTAACACCATGGTTACCCAAAAAATGGGTGTAAATACCCAAGATAAAAAATCTTCATTTACCCAATTGTCTACTGCCGTCAATTTGATAAAAACGATCAGTAGCAATATAAGTAAGCAGAAGGAATAGGCGCAATAGGTTAAAATAATACAAAGGTTTGAAATTAGTCCATGGTGTACGAGTTTCACTTTCTACAAATAAAATGATTTTTCATTCCGCACGCACCTCATATGAGCACCGCAACTTTCGTCACAGAGCCATCATTCAAATTACCATTGGCGCATACAATTTCACCTTTTGAATAAAAAACCTTAGCTCCCTCAACGGTATTAGAATGAAATAGACACAGAGAATATGTAAACGCCAAGTAGCGTTCCCCGACAAGAATAATAAACAAGCAAACATTCTCAGGCAAGGTACGGTTTTAAGAAAACAATATTCCTATACGTAAATAAAATACTAATGCGTACAAATACCTATGTTCAATTTGTTACATGAGAATCGATGGCGAGCTGTAATACATACTCTTAACTTAGGACGGCGAAAGTAGTTTTCACAAATTATTAACCTTAATATATAAAGGGCGTCACAGTAGGTACAATACATGATATTTTACTTATTATATTATACGTATTTTATACCATGTACCATCAGCTTATTTAACATTCCCTATAATCTATTTAACAAAATTAATTAATAATAAAATAGTAATCTATTATAATTTACTTGTAGATTATTATTAATTATAAAATACAAGCGGCACAGGTACAAAAAATAGATATTTTATATTACATATTTTAACACACACACATACGATGTTGATGTTCTCTAAATATACCAAAAAATCCTTATGTCCTCACTACATACGCTATATAAAGATTTTTTTGATATTCTTTCCACACTTTGAGTTATATTATCGAAGTTTCATACGGATCCCTGACATTATTAAAAATATTCTTTGACCTATGCACATCACGTTATACGGTTTTTCAAATCGGTCCTGTAGTTTCGAAGCCAATGCTATACAAACAAACAATATATTGATCGTAATTCTAGCGGTCTTATGGAAATGATTTTCGTGGTTACGCATTTTATAAACATTTATTTTATTGTTCAAATATGGTTTATCACATTTTTATTATTATAATAAATTCCCTTGGCTTCGTGCCCAACTATGCGAAATACATTCATCGTTATACCTTCATCTTAGATACGATTTAAATAATGTATATTTTACATATTATTGTTAATAAATACCTAACTAATGCATTTTTTCTTTCTTTTACAGAATTGGCCTTTGCGGATTCGATAACCCACACAGAGATCAGAAGACAGACGAATTAAAAAGACATATAGGACAGGTAACTATGATAATTAATTTGTACCTAATAAAAAAACAAATCTAATTCATTTTATACTCTTTCTGTAAGTAAAAAGATTTGATAATACGAATTTAGTCTATAAAGAGGAACATGCAAGTTTTTTGCTCATTCTTCTTGTGATGAGACAACTTTCCGAATGAGGTATATTAAAAAAAATGACGATGACTATTCAAAAATTCTTAAGTTAAGATTATATGAATAAAGGTTTTCTATTTTATTTAGTTCGATGTAATTCTCAAATTACTGCATAGTTTCCTGAAGTAACTTTTTTCCATAGATGTCATAACATTTTTAGTACATTTATTATGTAGTTTTTATAAACTGGTTACACCATACAAACAGCATTCTTACTTTTTACTTTAGGCTTGTTTATATCTATCTATATATATAACTCAAAGGTGACTGATATAGTGATCTATCAACGCACAGCCCAAACCACTCGACGGATCGGGCTGAAATTTGGCGTGCAGGTAGATGATATGACGTAGGCATCCGCTAAGAAAGGAATTTCATTAATTCTAGCTATATATATAGGATGAAAGTTTATATGAAACTTTGTCAATTTTAAACCGATCGGTCTGGGACTTTGCATGTATAAATCTACTATGACGTAGGCATCCCCTAAGAAAGGATTTTGATAAATTCCACCTCTAAGGGGATAAATTAACGCGAGTGAAGCCGCATGCAAAAGCTAGTGTAATATAAACGGGTTAATAACCTGTAATAATATGTTTGTTTAACAGAATAAGAATGCAAATAACTCTTCTATGTTTTGTTTATGTCATTAAAACTTAGCATCCCATGGCACTGGCCGCATGGAATCTCGCCTGCTATGATTTCTATAGATGATGATTATTTTTTAAATCGGTCAAAAAATTTTTAAGTTAATTTTTAGTATTAATTTCCTCCATTACAAACAAATATAATCAAAATAAAATCTACTCTTTACTGCACAGTGTAGGAATTGTCTTAAGTACTTAATTTTTTTTTATACTCTATGATATGAGCTACCTACGCTCAATACAGAGATGAGTTCACGATTAACCATAGTAATCAGTGATTTGGCTCAGACCATAGTCCTTAATCAAATTAAGGTTTTTTTTTCTATAAAATATTACACACAGACAAATAATGACGCAACGTTTGATGGAAAACGACCGGATCCATTGCATTTTTTTTAATTATTAGTCAAGCACGCCCACCTAAAGAGCCTATTACGGCATTCTGCCGAAAATAAATATTATAAAACAATCCGATGTACTATATTGATGTAAACAATCATAACTAATATTTAAAACCAGTAACAAAATAACGTAATTTATTATACACCCATAAAAATAAATAAAAAATACGAATTATTGATAACATTTTTGCTAATTCAGAAACGAAATATTAATGTAACACATAATAATATAATTAGTATAATAATAAACAAACAAATATAAAAATATGCTGATTGTCTTATGATTAAAACTATTTAAATAACTGCAATTTCACCTGTATAGCAATAGACATCTAAATAAAATTAACAAAGGACTACAAATAAATTTACAAAAAGCGAATACTATGTTTTGTTATAGTTTTAATTTATAAAGAAATTAAACTAAATAATTATTATTTTTTATTTTTATTCATTGTTTTTCGTCTTGATCAACGAGTATTGACAACGTAGATTGAATAATACAAATACGCTTATGTTTTAAACTTTTATTATTGGTGTTTACAATTGCACAAATCATTCAAACGGGACATTTACCCTGATTGTATTGTTTAAGATAGAATAGAATAGAAAATTTTTATGTCAATTAACTATACTAAAAGGGATAGTTTCACCGACAAGAACGTGGCTCTTAAATTATGAATGAATGAAAATAGATAGGGTTTTAGTACCTACATATTCATCATCATTTCGTTATCATATACATGTAAATTCATTAGAGTATATTTGTAAATATTTTAGTATATTTTGTGACATCATGGCAACAATTCATGATAGAAAAAGACAGCGTATTTCTTATTCCAGTCAATTAAAATATACCTGTAACAAGGCTTATTGTGTTATTAAATAAATAAATTCTAACATATAGTAAAAACATACAATTTGAAGATATACCAGGAAGTCTGTAACTAGGATCTTAGTGAGAGATTAAACATGTACTACAGCATATATCTACTCGTAGGTACAATGCAGATTATCGAAAACAAACGAACGAACAATAGGTGAGATCTTGACATTCAAATGAGATGCGGTAACGAGCTGTCAATTTCAAGGATATCAATATTTTTAAATTCCAGTTATGAACCACTCGTGGATACTAAAATGTTATTTTGGTCCATTCCCACAGAATATCTCACAGAAATAATTATATCCGTTTTAGTAAAATTGAATAAATTCTTATTAATCATTGCTATTACTGTTAAGTGACAGTACATATACAATAGTATGCATCTGCCATAACCTTATTTTATTAACGGTACCAGTTGATGGTGATAATATGAGTATGAAGTAAATTATTTAAAAGATCGTTGAGGATGGTTTGCAGGGACCACGTGGAATTCGATCAGATAAGTTTTCTAGCATTTCTTTTCGCCCTTGATAAAATAAGTTTTGTTCAATTTACTTATTAGTTACCTCTAACAATTACTAAAAGAACTAAAATATCTCATCTCCAGTTAGTTATAGAACTTATCAGAGATTAGACGTAGAGATAGGGTACGACACTATCAAAAATTTGTTTTGAAACAGTATTATTAAATACATGTGAAGGTACTGACGCGGTTATGAATCCATTATCTACGGGCTAGTGGTTTGTTGGCATTCGAAACCGCCGTGCGACATTAAACCAAGTTTCGTTAACTCTTACAACACTTCCGTCTGACTACAACGCTCCTATAGAACCGAATTTATCAACATTTTATGGAGAAAATATAACTAAAGTTATAAAAGGAGTACTATACTGTAGAATCAATTCTCATTCTTTACGGAACGATACTATATTAAAATAAGGTTAGTCGTAAAGAGGTATATTATATCAAGAAACACTTTTAATATCAATCTATTTAATTTTTTATAGGATTACTTTTGTAGGCAACACCACTTTATAATATATTTTTCTGTAACCATCCTGCAATCAGTCCAAGACTATAAAAAAATGTGGTAAAAGTTACGTCGCGGGTAGAGTTTGATTCCCAGCAGAATCAGCGTCTCTTTAGGTTGTCCTGATTAGTCATCGAGTCCTAGGACCCTACGCCTTTTAAGGCTACGTATATTCTCGGGGACTATGAGTTTGTTGGCCAGCATTTTAGGATGATTTACTAGCCTTGTCTTATGTTTTTTGTCTTCGACTGCTGTGGTTATATTGAGATACTCATGAACCTAAGATGTTTTTGCAAACTAAGCCGCATTTATAAGCTGTTTTAACAAATTAATTTGAGCCCTTAGTATTATGCTTATACTTTATAATGTTAACTTATAACATTACACATATTTTTGGGCTCTTTTCAAATGACAAGGTCACGTTATTAAGGTCACCTGTTACTGCTATATTGGCCGTTAGAAGATCTAGTTGAATCTCAACTCAGTAAAATGGAAGCACCATCCATCATAGTAATAATCGGATTGACTGATAGGTCGGTTATAATTATAAGTTGTAAATGTTTATGATCTTTGAAAGTACAAATGAATAATTCATGTTATTACTTTATTGACTCGGGTTAATTGTTTCTTAAACTTGTATTTGATATTTTATGAATAGTGAAAAAATGCAATTAATATTTATGCTAGTATAACATATTTATGTAAAAAACAAAATGCAATTACTATTAAAATATTATAAATCTATATCACTTACCATCAGGTGACCTGCATGTTCGTTTATCCCCTATATTATAAAAAAACTCTACTTAGCTTTATAACACCATGTAGTAGCATTTTCTAATTCCTGTTTGTTTGCTTGTTTATGCAAAATTCGAGTTGTCTTTTGCAACAAGTTTACCAAAATCTTTAAATTTTTGCATGAATCATCCGCAGTTAATATTATTCATATATTGTAGTTTTTTTATTCGTATTATAATATTGTTCTATTCTAAAGGCTTTAGTCATTCAACATCTATTAGACTTAGTATAATGGTCCTATTGACGCCATCATTTTCCCAAGCTCTATGACCACTTACTTAATCTCTTCCGTCTTTGTTAAAGTTTGTTCCAAAAATATTTTGATATGCTCCAACAATTTAAGGTCACTGATGTCATAGGTCAAAATGTTATTGGTACCTTATATTCTATTGTTGAACAGTCCTGTCAAGTCGTAAATCATAATAAGATGAATAGTGTTAGTTTGATAAAAACTGTATCGTCTTGAGCCAATGACCTTGTATCTGTTGATGTTAAGATAATTTGTGATGTCATCGACTTAACGGTTTTTGTTAATACATGTGCATTTTTTTTATAAAGGTTGTTGTCTCTACATCATCACACATATTACGGTATTGACATAAAAGACAGTTCTTTTATGTCAATACCGTCTGTTGTACTTTTCATTTTCTGAAGTTGAACATCTTAAAACAGGTTTTTATTAACACTTTCACAGCCTTCGTCTAAGATTTTTTGTTAGTTTATATCCAAATTAATAGTTTGACATAAATATACTGAATAACGAAACAGACTTTCGATTTTATAAGGAGGGAATACAAAATCATTTATATATAACAATAAATATTATATTTTACTTATGTAAGATATGAAAATCATATATTATAGTATGTGCATTCGAGTTAGGACAAAACTTTTCTCTTATCTAGCCTATATATTTTCAACAATATTACCACTATAGTAATGCACTTCAGAATGGCAATAATAATACGCAATTTATATAAGAAATAGTTATATAAGTAGGTACGAATATATAAAATCCATGACTCGATTGTCTTTCTGGTAAATAATATTAAACTGATAATTTTGCTTCGAATATGTTTTAAATCTAGATGACAGGAAAATTATTGTAAATTCCTGACATGTATGTAGACTTTTCAAGAGGTTTATTCCATATTAATTATAGTGTTGAAAAGATTCCTATTACAGGGGACTGAAAATGTAAAACTTGAATCGATACAAAGTTTGTACCTACGATGTACGTTCAAGTTTTATTATAAATGGGTAAAAATTACTAAGCCATGATACTTACAAAATGCCTGTAATAATAGATTTATTTCTTATTTTAGACAATCACAATACCTACTGATTTTTTTTTAACAGGGTGTCAAAATAAAGATGGACGACGCCGGTAACATACTCATCAGGCGCTACTCCAAGAGTAGTGTGTTTGTGAAGAGTACGGCAGCCACAAGCAACGAGGAAACTGCAATAGGACAGGATATACTCAAGCTACCCGGCTACTCGCTCGAACAGGAGAAAATTTTCAAAGTAAGTTCCTATAAGTTTCTTTTCGAGTGGCTAACTACCAGCCTGGTGGACGAATATACGAACATGGATGAGTGGACGAAATGGTAGATACCATGTTTTGACATTTCATTAGTCCTCAGGTATGAGGGCTCGGTACCTTTTATTTTCATTCCGGCAATGAAAATAACAATGTTTTAAAATTATTAAATATTTTTAAAACATAGATAATTCCTTAATTCACTTATTCGAATGACTAACAGCCCGCCTGGTCTACAAATGACGAATATTCAGTGGTAGATACCACGTTTTGCCATTTCATTACTCTTATGGTATTAGTACTCGGTACTGTAGGAATTAAAGAAATAATTTCTAAGTTCAGGTTTCTAATATTATTTAAATTTTAAGTAAAATTTACATTACACTATTTTTTTACAATTAGAAATAAATAAGTTTTTTCATTAATAAAAAATATATTTACTTTCGTTACTAAATAATATAGGCATGTGTTTCATATAGATTGATAAAATATTATACTAATACTATGTAATGTAGAAATTAAAAATAACTACACTGTCTAAAATTCGAAAATGTAAAATAACCTTTAACATAGCTATTTAAAGGTATCTTTAATATCCACCTTTATATTACTTTTTCCATGAATAAATAAATTTATTCTTACGTGAACATTGATTGCAATTTACCAAAGGCACAACACAATTAACAATAAGCACTGGCTAATGCAGTCTCCCATGTTAAGTTGCAAAAATAAATAATGTAAAAATAAATGGAATACGAGAATTACCTTAAATAATACGTCGAGAACAAAAATATTGTATCGAAATGACTTAATTAATGTACCTGCTTAATATTTCAACTGATCTTATATCTGCCCTGCATTTATCCTTCACTATATACTGATTATCTGCAATAAATAAATACACTATACGTCTCAATAAAATTTTAAACCGAAATATCTTTGTGTTAAAGGTAATCCGCCATCCCATTTAAAGCGTCTTATAGTTTTATGTGATAGGTAATTTTGTTCCGTGCCTACAAAACAATGTACCAACCAGTATTAATTTCCGTTGCAATGGAAGCGTTAGGCTTCGTTCACAATGACAGATATTGTGTTTAGGTATTTTTCCATTTATTTCTTTTATTTTACTATACATTTTTTATAAATTTTTATCAAATATCTTAAACTGATATCTGTATAGTTAATACCTGTTGACAAATTAAGGCAATGGTATTCACACTTACTTCATTTTAATACCATATGCGAATATCAGACCAATATTATACATATGTTATAAACCCTTAATTTTATTTTTAAATATATTGTAAATGAGCTGTCAAAGTATAAGTAAAGTCCTTAAGTAAGAAGTATCTTAAAAAACTATGTAAATGTATGTTTTACTATTCATTTGTACAGACTACCTCAGAAATTGAAAAACTGGTTTGTTGAATGTGGTTAGCACTGCATTTGCTGATACATACAAACTTACTATAAGCTTTAGTGATCATTCTAATCGATTTTACTAGTCCTTTATTATTCCGAATAATACGCGTATGAACTAACGGACATTGTACTTACTTTTAAAAACACATTATGTTATAATATAACACAATACATACCGTATGTGAGTGAAGCCTTATGAATTAAGATGTCGAAATGTGAGTCTATTAATTTCGTGGCTGCCCACATGATGACCATGCCTTGATGCCTTATGTTATGGGATATGGTAATTTAGTAAAATTAGGTAAGTAATAAAGAATCATCCTTTTTGGATAAAACGAGTAATCATAGTCGTTATCTGTTGGCAGGTAAGCACCGGATTTTTCTTTTCGTGATCTGCACGGATCTATATATCTTTAATTTTTTTAATATTTATCATTAACAGTATTAGTATTTTATAAAATTTAATTTTAATTCTATTGTTTGTAATTTTCTTTAATTTTATTTATTAAACATTATATTTATTACTTTTTTACTAGAACTTATTCAAATATCTTGTAATTCACTTATACAGTCATTCGCTCGTAATAAACACGTAGAAGTTAATTAATTTACAAAAGGACAAATATTGTTTATTCACAAATAATTCATAATTTAATTTATATAATATTACTATCGTTTATAAAGAAAACTAACTAAAAATTATACAAGTAAAATTTTTATTTGTAGTAAACTGTCCAATTAAAACGAACTAAGACAAAATTACATAAATGTTTAGTTTGTAAAATGTGATAAATTCCAGCTAACGGCCAACCAGAAATGCCTCACAAAATATACAGTGACACCTCGAATGCATTGCCATTCATGAGGACTGAGGTGTCATGGACCCTGTTGCTATATTTTCACTGAATCTTAACCTCATCCTTTAACGGCAACTTATGTAGGCTCTAACATATATGTAGGCTCTGTAACTCACTGCCATGTCCTTACTCTTTAACCGAAATACAACGTACAGAGCTGGTTACTTGGCGACTGAAGGTGAAACAGAGGGGTAAATTACTTCGTACAAAGTATATTTTGGTACAACAATAAACATAAAGATATATGACATTCAATAATTACCCCATCAAAATACTTGAGTTTGGCACGGCATGTATCGCCTTGTCAATATTCAATAATCTCTCATATTTTACTTTATTATATATATATAATATATTCTTTTACACAATTCATCTTACTTATTATGGATCTGCCCTTGTTCATCCATTTATAAACACATCATTATTTTTATCAGTCGATAATGTGAGGGGTTATCTTTATACAATATGTCTATATAAACTTTATTTCTTTCAGTTACATAATGTGCTCTCTGCTTACCTAAATTACTTGTAATTAGTTCATATGACTGAATTACGATGCTAGTATTATGTACTATTATGTTATCTGTGCTGGTATGAAGGGTCCAAGTTTCATCATTTTATTTCGGATACGAACATTTGTATTGTATATAAATTATATAATAGCACGTATAATAGAGACTCCTCCATAATAAATGGCTGAAAATAAATACGAATTCCCATGAGACAATAAAGGTATTTAATTTCTTTAATTATTTCCTCTACAACATAAAATAGATTAATTGTCCTATACTCTATAATCACCTCACTGCAGCTTCACATACTGATAGAATAATTACATATTGCTCCATCTTGCACCATTTGTCCGTAAATAAACGTAAGTTTCGACATATAAAAGACAATGATGGACTACAGTAAAAAAAATTAAAAGCTTTGAACATTACTCTAATGTGCATTGTGCTGGTCATTTACAGTGCATCACGACTGCACTAGCACGACTCTCATGGCCGTGACATTGCCACATAATTTCTTTTTAGTTGTGCTTACGAAATTTCTAAATTACCAACTCGCGGCAGTACAGAAAATACTAAACACTTGACCGGAACTTTTCATCTTCTATCGGTTTTTTATTCACCCTTATAACATTAGAGTTCTTGTTTTATGAACTCGCTTTCTCCCACGACTCTGATCGTGACTGTATTGTAATCGTTGATATTGAGATTTTTTTAAAGAAATTAATACTTTGGTATTGTTATCAGATTGGACTGTTATTCAATTCAGTAAGATCATAGATACTTTATTTCAGTACAAATATACGTGTTCCACCTTTTGAACTCTTAGGCTTTTTTAGCTATATTCTTAATTTAAAAGATGGTTTTTGTTTTTTGTCGGACTACTCTAATGCTGTTGGCCGCAGCTGGCCATTACAGCTTTACCAGACGTTAGGGGGCGAGTGCAGATGGCACTTCAAACCCGCGGAAGGACTTATGGAGCGGCTGAAGACCAACTCCTTCTTGACAGATACGACTTTAGTCTGAGGGCACAACTAGGGGTTCGAACCTCGGCTGAGGCGGTCGTAATATCGATCCCCGTTTGACTTGGACGGGGGATCGATCGGAGGGTATATGGACAAGGGATCGATCGGAAGGAATTGAAAGATGGTTACAAAACAGTTTTTTAGGCTTTTTATTTAATTTATTTTTTATCTACTCTAAATTCAAACAGTATTTATACACAAGGAATTATATGAATTTCCCACAGTTAGAATAAAATTCTCTGATTATCTTATCTATGATTAATTTTCTTACACATACCTTCTGGTACAGTGCAATACTATTATAATACAACCAGTAAACTTCGGTATAGACAAATTATCAAACAATAGATGCGGCACTTCCTAGTCTACGAGACAGAAGATACATTACTAATTCATACATCATTACCTACAACGCTTTACGTAAGGTAGTTGCTGCAAACAATGAGAAAGATAGCAACATGGAGTAACGAGAAGAATGGTCATTGCCTCACTTATTTGTATGTTATTCCGTTTCTTTAATGAAAGCAGATTCACAGAAAGTGAAGGCTATTGTTTTGCCCATTAGGAATTGAGTAAGCCATAGATCCAGTTAATAACAATTGTTGAAGGCGAATTGGTGGTATGCTAATGAGTAATGTTCTTTCAATTTTCTTATGATCGTTTATTTATTTATTTAACATACAATAAAAATATAGTAGAGTACATTTAATGGACTTATCACCATGCGGCATTTTCTACCAGTCAACCATAGATGGTACAAGGAATAATTGGGTTTATTTCTCAATTAAAGAAAAATTGGTTATTTTAATAAAAGGATCAACTTGTATTAACTACTTATTTCTACTTGTTTTACTATTTTTTTGTATCGTGGTAAAAACGTAAACCAAACAATACTATTTATTTAAATCTACAAAATTATGAGTATGGTGATATGTTCGTGTTTAATAGAACTAATTACAACTTTCTACTAGCTTTTTTATCAGTCACTAGCATATAGTCTATTTCCGGTCACATAGTACAAGCAATCTTCATATAAAATTTTATTAAATTCTGTACAGTTTAGTTGTGAAAATATAACAAACAGACAGACTGACAGACAAACATAGTTATTCACTAGTATAGTTATAAAAAATATCAATATGATCAGTGTATTCCTAATATTTTTGACAGCATATTAAAATCATAATAATATACTTGTACAATTCAAACACGTCTTCATTTACAAATCCAATTTCCTCGAAACAATACGATGTTGTAACTTGTTGATCTCTGAGATTTTTTCAGAGCCATTCGTTTGCGTTCCCACACCGAATTCCCTTGTGACTAAATTAATGTAATACAATGTTATCAACAAAAGCCCTGTCAGCCTCACTAGTTTTATATCAGCATCCAATACAAAATTGTCAAAGATGACGTTTAAATTGTTGCGCAAAGCACGATTCATCATAACGAGCAACTATTCCAATATAAGCAGAGTACATAGTGTCGTAACACAATACTGGAGTATGCTCAAACATTCCAGTATTAATTAAGATTTAACGAAAACATATCCAAAAAGTGTGTTTCTCTGATGGTGCACTTTCTTGGTTCGTAGGCGGCGACTTTTTATAGATAAAATCGAATCTGAGTTGTCTACTGTGTTCGATGGACAGCCTGATGTGAAACCTTCAAAGTGCATTGGTTGTGTAACAACTTTATAAGCCTCATTCAATTTCGTCGACGCATCTGACTCGGCGTTTTTGATATTGTTTTTTAGTTTAATAATAAAATGTATGTCTACTCTTCTTATACGAGTTATTTTAAAGGCTTCATTAATAGTAATAGAATTCAAATTATAACTCGTTTAGTAAATTTTTATGATACTGATTTTGTTATTGCTGTCTGTTATTAAGTCATTAGTTACAGGTAGTTCAAATTTGGTCTCATTCAAATTTAGTTTCAATAATGACATTTTCTTAACTGTGTATTCAGTATTTACCTGTGGTAATGAATATTACAGGACCAAGTTAATGAATTTCTGTTGTAATAATATAAAGCGTCTCCTGAAATCTCTATATTTTCTTAAAATTCTTAGTGATTACCTAGATTATGTCATACTCGAATAAAATTTTAATATCTACTCAATCAATAACTTAAATTATTTTCAATAAATCAGGCAATAGTTCTACATAAAGTAAGTAAATATATGATTTAAGATAATCTAAGTTCTAAGTACCTAAGTTAGTCTAAGGTAGAATTTGTAAAAAGTCCTCTGGAGCCTTCTACCTATTTCAGCGGCTAGTTTGCTTTGAAATCTGTCTTTCGGTTGTAGAATGAGATGAGGCAGTGCAATAACAGGTTAATAACGTGACGTAGTGCTGTTCGATTACCTTCATATGGCCACCATCTTTATTAACAATTATATAAAAAAAAGTTAATACCTCATTTTTTCAAGTCGGTTAGAAATACGTTTCTTCACAGGGGCGTGTACACAATCACTCGTCGGCCCAATTGTAGATGACAGCACAATTTTGGTTGTCTCTCCATTATGGACCAGCGCTCTACTATCAAATAATTTGATAATATCAGAATGTGTCGAGTCGTCTATCTGTTTGTTTAGATTAACATCGCATGTTTGATTAAATTGGTTAATTAAGATTAAAAAAACACGTCGAGTTTTTGTACGCTGAGATCAATCATTAATTAGCTACTTGCAAATGTTTGGTGTAACTTCTTATGTTGTGTATGATAATCATCTTAGATTCATTATGTACATATTTGTTGAATTAACAAAAAATTAGAGCATTTAGCTTTGTATAAACATGTCATCGAATTAATATACCTCGTTTATTATGATTGTCGTTTATATGTCGACTGATAGGCATTTTTTTTATACTACGATGATGATAAACAAGCATAGAATCATCTGATAGTAAATGGTTACAGTAGCCTGTAGATGCCTGAAGCAACAGGGGTGTCAAGTGCACGTTGCTGACTATATATATATATATATATATATATATATATTACAATATAATATGTAAATACAAATAATAAATATATATCAGCTCATAAATATCAACATTGGCATTGCGCGGGGATTGAACCCGTAAGCATCCGAAGGTGAAGCAACATGCCAACCACTATACAACCAAGGTATTAATAATTCTTTTTTTTCTTCCACAGTTATTCGACATGAAGAAATTCCAGTCAAACGTGAACCGTGAGCTTCGCCGTGCATACCCTGACCGCAGACGGTTGGAGACGCAGTGCCTCAGTGCAGTAGCATTTGTCAAATCGGACAGCGAACTGCTCGAGTGTCCCATATGGGTGTTAGTCATCAACGTAGTCGCTATGGACATGCTCAAATCTAAATTGCCTCCAGGTAAGAAAGTTTTTAAAGTACACTAATGTATGAATATAATAAAAATATAACTGATCGTTACTAATATTATAAACGCGACAGTTTGTGAGTATAGATATATGTTCGTTACTCTCTTATATTTCATTAAGGGCGAGCACAATAGATCTATACAGGTCGCAGTGTTACAGGTCTTAGCACCTTACAATAATCCAAAGACTGAATGGATTTTGATGAAACTTTACAGCAATATAAATTATACATCAGAATAATACATAGGCTATAATTTAAAAAGATATTTTGTAAATAATATAATGATAAATTTCATGTAAATGTGATCTAGATGAAATAGCTCGAGTAAGCAGTAATAATTGCAAAATATTTTTTGTTTGTCAGTGGGCTAAATTTAGAAACGGCTTAACTGGTTTAGAGTTTACTAATGTGTTGTGGCTAATCGAAATTTAAATTTTGTGTTTATTTTAATGGTTTATTAGTATATTACAAATAAAAAAATATATGAAATATCGATGTTAAGAGAAGACGAAAGTTGGCCTCCTGGCACATTCAACAGACCTAATAAATAACATGGTAGGGAGGAAATTTACTACAGTCTTTTCATTGGTTTTGGGTTGGTTTTTATTTATGAATAATTAGAAATTATTATTTAGTCATAAATTTAAATTGAGACCAAGTTTATGGTGGTTTAAATTCAATTTTACGACTTATAGGAATTTAGAATTCTTAATATTTTCTATGGCGAATTGTGCTTGAAAAAGTATTATAATGTATCCATACTAATCCATCATAATCATCATCATAATTATTTAGCATTTATGATGGATTAGTCTGTCTGTCTATCTTGTCTTTTTGTTACCTTTTCACGACTAAATGGCTCATACGACATACGAGTACACAGTATCATGATGATGGACATAGGCTATCTTTTATTTTAAAAAATAATCTAGAAAAGGATAAAATAATGAATGAAATATTTTATGTAGAGGAAATCGCGGAAGTTTGAATAACTAGCTGAATAGTTATTACATAGACAAAGTCATGTACTGGTGGTAGTGGTTAGATATTTTAATATTCTGAATTCTCTTCGTCTCATTCAAATTATTCACAATTATTCGAGTTATTCCATTACTTGTGTGTATATTTGCATTAATAATACGAAATATAATATCTAATAGATGCTTGCTAGACCAATTTAATTGAGATTGAATGGCTAAGGTCATAGCAGAGCCAACTTTTAAAATGTCAGGTACTCATTATGATTAATGGATATTTGTATATGTAAGTAGATGTTAAATTTTGATCTGTCTGTAACTCGATTGCCTCGGTGCCACACTGCATCAGGAGCACAAGACAAACAATGTTTTCATCTGGCTATCTTCACCCTAGATTGCTTATAGTAAATGTAGAGAAAATGATTATTACTCTTTCATAAACATAACAAAATATATGTAACTGATGTTACCCATGACTTTGCATATATTTTAAATATATGCATGTATTTTAGGTATAAAATATAGTCTCCGGCTGTTAAATACATATTTATCAATAAAAACATGACAGACCAACAGATTCGCACTTAAATCTCTAGTATCTCTCTGTATAGATAGGCTTACAATTATGCCAGAAAAATACGAATGAAACATACTTTTTTAAGAAGAAGCATATTCAGTGTACTATTGTATTAGTTTCAATAATAAATGAAATAATATTACAAAACATAATGAGCAATAAATTACATATATTAATTTTTAAACAATATCAAACACACTCAAAATAACAACTTACAACACAATCGTGAGTCCATTACTTTACAAATTGTAAAATCAGTCATTGCTCTAATTTGTGCATTATTTACGTGTACAATTAAAGTAAATAAGGGTCTGTATGTCCGGTTGTCAGGTCTGGTGGCCTTGTTCGAACAATCGCACTGTTGCTTTCCACCGTATTAGCTTAGCCAGTACTATTTAGAGTATATCTCAGATCGGGCAGCTTTGTCATTGTCACAGTCAAGCTGAATGCTTAAACAACCGTCTAGGGGCATTACACGACGTAATCGACTAAACTATACACTCAAAAGTGTAGGCGACATTGTTATATTACATGGCATTGCATTATTGCAGTATTACAGCTATAAATGTTAGTGTTTTGTAACTCGTGTTTACGTGGTAACATTATTCCGCGGCATTTTCTGTATCAGTTAAGATGTAGAATATTAGTAGTATTAATCTTAATTATGACTTTTCATATAAATCCTATCAATTATTTTCTATAGAAACAATTTTTTTTGTGATGCAGTATAATTCTATATTGGTTCAAGTGGCACGGTTATACTCGTACATATATATTTAAATATATTTTATATATAATAATATACTTTAGATGTACATATCACAGTTATGTACATCTTAACTATGTAACAACCTAAAATTGTAATAAATTGCATTAAATTATTATAATTATAATTTAAATTTGTAACCATATCTCGCGGCGTCTACCGTTTGTATAAAATATTCTCTGTGTTAGTTTAGATCTATATCTATTTGCATATCAAATATGTTTGAGTAAAATATTTAAAACTGATATCTTTAGTAACTTTCACACATTCAAATTAGAGTCACGAAAATATTTAAGGTTAAATATACATATAGATCGTCTTAACACAATCTAGACTGCGCAAAACTCGTCACTCTAATCACCTGTAGTAATATCATTGATTCTATTCATATAAATATGTATGATGGTTACAACTCCTCATCAGACGAGCCGTGAATTTGTTTGCCATTCACGGTAGCATAAAAAAGCTCGTAATACTAAACAGTTTCGTCATTCCAGTCAATGACCAAACACGTTTTTTTAAATAATTATTACCATACATTAGCAACCATTAATTCAATACGAAAACGTATTTCCGTCATAATTAACCTGAGCCCATATAAAATCACGATTCAAATTGTAACTTTAAACTGTTGTAAATAGATGAAGGGATTGTAAAATTAGCGGGAATGACAACTCATATCTGTAAATAATATTAACTTCATTTTCAACTAGGTTTAAACGGTTCACACACGACTTTAAAATCAGGAGTATTATTTAAGCAATGGTGACAGAATGTGGATGGTTATAAGCGCAGAGCCAAGGCCGTAAAAGAAATGGTTGGTGTGAAAGATGATATGGCAAGACACGGAGTAAATAACGAGATGACTGCGAACAGGGATGAATAGAAGAAAAGAACATATTACAACGACCAAATAAATGCTGTAAGGGAAGAAATAGATGATAGGCTGAATCGGTCTACATGCAGTGTGATTAATTAACTAATTTGAATGACAAGATTCTTTGACGAAACTTGCCTCAACGCTACCTCGATATCGCCCCTGATTTTAGGGTCGTGTGAAGACCGCTTTATGCAGCAAAAACTAATAGCTATAAGAAAAAACTTAACACAGCGATTGAGTAACGAATCGCGTTCAAAGGACGCGTTTTGTATAAATAAATATGCATCATTTTATTCTCACGGATTGCTACACAAGTGTAGGTAGCTAAATTGTTAATAGTATTCTTGATTTTATTTTTCGGTTCTGGTATTAAATATCCTCTATTTGCTTATTTACGAAGGAAAAAAACATAATTTGTGACCATGCTTTTTCATCCTAAAGATGTCCTGATAGGCGATTAAGGGACGAAAGCCAAAGATAAGGAAATGTAAGAGTGCACTACAAAGTTGTTGTTATGCGAGACTCGTGCCCAGTAAATGGATGATTAATTGTTTTAGATGACAATGGTATTTATTCTATATGTAGTTGCCGTTCTTTTCCTTCGTTTTCGTACGTAAAGTATGATATATTTTCGACACTAAATATTTATTTAGATATAAAGAGATTTGATCCAGATTCTATAAAACTTGGTTTGCAAGAGGTAATTGTGTTGTTTATTTTAATTACATATGTTATCAGAAGCCCATACTCTCAAGCGATTATACTATTTGCATTTATTGTTTATTAATTGCAAATAAAAGGATAATAATAGCAATAAAAACGGCACTACAAGAAAAAATAATATATAAACTATTTTTAACTGCACTTGAACATATTGGCCACCGTAATCTAAAACACAATAGACATCTTAAAAACTTCTGAATGCAAATCACCGCATTAGCATATAGACTGCGTACAATATCTATTTGTACATTACTTCATAATTATATATTTAATAAAAAATATGTTTCCGCGCTAAAAACTATGTTTGATACCGTCTGCCCAAGTTCAATGTTAACCAGTGGGACGAGCCACGAACAGAAGATACTGTAATAAATGGACGTCAACTTTTTGTATCTTATCTATACTTTTTTCATAACCGATTCTCAAAATAAGAAATAAAAGTCATGTAAATAATTATATAAATTATATTCTTAATCTACTTGATGCTCTACAGCGTATTCTTCGGTGCAGATGTAAAGATCTACTACGATCTACAAAACAACAGCGTAAAAACCAAACTAAATAACAAAATCTGAAACACATCTCCTATACATCCCTATATCCTAACAAAATGAACACTGGATCCATACACTCATTCTAATATTAAAAATACTAAAATGTCTCTCTGTTTATTATCTTTTCACGATTAAACGCCTAAACGGATCTCAATAAAAGTCATGAAGATAGATGGTATAGCACGAGAACGGACATTGGCTATTTTAAATCTGAAAAAAGAAACCAGACCAAGTCATGAATAACAATTAGTAACAGATAAAAACGAAGAGTGCGTAATGATATAAAACTTTAGCAAAAGTAATTTAGACTAAAGATACATAATATAAGAATATTTTGTATTTTTAACTACACTCTATTAAATATTTCGACATATGTGTATTTAGCGCCTACCTATATTACAAAAAAAAATCGCGATAAAAAAAATCACTGCGATTTCAAGCGATAATCTGACTATAAACAAAATAATTGACTGCAAAATGTCAATTAAAAATAAAATCAACAAAAACTTGGACC